TTAAAAAAATCTATCGGGCTTAAAAAAACACCCTGTATATGGCCGCTATTCATAGTCTATTCTTATATTTAAGTCTATGTCTTATGTTTAAGACCTTCTTATGTATAATAATATAACTTAACAATTTTTTTATTTAAATAACGCCGCTCTCTTCTCTCTGTAACCGATTTATAACATCTTAGAAATGTATTTAATGCAGTCCTGATGAAATAAAAATTTAAATATCGGCTTATGCTTTGTAATCAATGAAATTAAAATAGTGTTAGATGATGTCTAGGTTCTAAATAAAGGCTATAATCAAGAAAGTTACCCCATCTATATTAAGAAATTTCTCTATTTTAGAGACAAGAATTGATTTTTTTATATCTCTTATATATTTTTTGAATTCTACAAAACATGATTTTCAAATTTCATCGAAAAATTTTCAAACATTGACGATGTTATAAAAGAAAAAGAATTAATGCGACTTTAAATTCAATTACATTAGAGTAGGGCTACAAAAATAGATTTTTCTGTAGTGAATCGAATACAGTTGGAATTTTCTTGATCAACAAAGGCATTGACACAAATATGCACGCGCGCATGTTACTATCATACTTTTATATATATGAAATTTGAAGGTTAGAAATAATTATTAAAAATGTTTTTAATTTAGTATATTTTTTCTAATTTATATTATATAGTATATATTAGTATTTTTCCAACTTAAATTATTTTTAACTCAATTTAGTATTCTCTTAATTTTTAAAATGCATGCAAACTAAAATACATTTATATTTAAACCCCCAAATATAATTATAAAATGATAATAAAGACCATTTGAGACATTTTTTAAACGATTAAGAAAACGAAATGAAAGGATAAATAATTTAAACAAGAAAAAATATCTTTTGATGGGTAGCGAAACAGACAATATAGATATTTTATTTAAAAGCTTTCTCAAAATATAAGAATTTTTATGAAGTTTTAAAATTAATTTATTAAAATAATATCTGAAAGAGAGAAAATACTTAATTTAACAACGAAGATTTTAAGTAATTGATTTTGAAATATACATATTGTTCTTCAAAAAATCTTTGAAGAAACAAATTTAAATGATTGTATCTTTCTAATGAAATATTTTGTTTAATATTAATCACTGATATTTCCAATCAAAGTTATTGAACGATTGTATTGATAATATTGCAACATTAATATCGATTGGTTTTTACGTTTTAATGACTTCCAATAAAATAAAAGTACACACATAAGAATGTATGGTTTATTACATATAACATTTGATCTATAATGATATTTTATATTAAATTTTTGCTATATGAAGCATGTATGATAAGATGAAGCATAATTTACTTAGTAGTATTCTAAAATTATTTGAAGTTTCATTCATATTCATAGTACGGAAAATATTTTAAGTAAAAGATACATAGCAGGAATAATGAGAAAATATATTTAGAATGAATAAAAAAATATAAAGATTTATATATCAAAATGCAATCAAGGCAGTACGGAAAAATCTTCATTCTTCTATTTCTAACAACAACAGACAGGCAGGGGATATAACTTCGAAGTATGACATAGTTCTCTACTAATAGTTATATCTGGGTTTAAAAATATCATACATTATCCATTCAAAATAGATTTTAAAAGGAAAAAATGGTACTTTACAATGACATAAAAATTTTGATAAAACTTTGGTTTTTTATAGCTTTGAAATATTAAAATTTATTTTTTGTTTTATAATGATTTGTCTACTTATTTGAACAATGCATTTAAAAATTTAGAATGTATATTAGAAATGCTTTTATATAATATTGTTGTCTATAAGCTATTCGCTTTAGTAAAAATTACTATTTGTATCAGTATTGATATTTATGGTATTTTGCATTAAAAAACAAATATAAAATATGTGCTAAAATGATGTGCTATGATTAAGCCACGTGAAATCTTAAGATAAAAATCATCGGTTCTGTCAGACAGAGAGATTGGAAGTCTTGTGACAAGTACTTTAAACATATATTTACATATATATAGACATACATTGTTCAAAGCATTATGTCTTAGAACAACGAGGAGACAAGATTGTGTTTCGCATTGTCTCTAATTTTAACGTACTATTTGCACCCGAAACTCTTTTAATTTTTGACTCAATGATCATACTCATATTTACGTTTTCCGTTCATTTTTAATCAAAGGAATTTCATTCGGTTTACTAAAATTGACATTATAAGCATTTTAATGATTGACTGCAAATAGCTTTTATTATGCGTACATTCTTTTTCCGTTATATATTATAAATATGTACATTATGATAAAAAATTGGAAAAATAAGGGGTACATTGATTCTAATTTATATAAAAAATTGTACGTTTCGGACGGCGAACTTCCGAGATCTTACGGTTTGCCAAAAATTCACAAAGAAGGTCACCCTTTAAGATTGATTGTCAGTTGTATTAATAGTGCTTTTTATCCACTGGCGACTTTCTTAAAGGAAATCATTGACAATAATAATATAAAAAATTTCAGTTTCGTTAAAAATAGCTTTGATTTAGTAAATAAACTCAATGGTAAAGCAATTGATACAAATTATAGTATTATATCATTTGACGTGGTCTCCATGTACACGAATATTCCGACCGAATTAGTATCAAAAAGCATTGAACGCAGGTGGAATCTTATGGAGAATAAGACTTCGATTCCTTTACATGAATTTATCAAAGCAATTATGATTATAATTAATTCTAAATTTTTTAGTTTTGATAATAAAATATTTAAACAGATTTTTGGCATGCCAATGGGTTCTCCTTTGTCCCCCATATGTTTCAAAGATATTTTTAAAGACATGTGTATTACGTTTAAAAAAAGATATAAATAGCAAATCATCATATTTACATTTGTGACATAAATGTTTACCACCGTATTAGTTACATTTATTGTTGCAATCCAAAAAGTTATACCTAATTTTTAAAAGACGTACCATTTTCAAAAATTTACTTATTATAGCAACTTGTTGTATTCAACAATTAGATGAAAAAACTTTCATTTTCATTTACATATACACTGTATGTGCCCTAAAAGAAAAATTGCTGTTCAAAAATTGCTTCCAAAGCAATTTATTGCATCTTATAATTGTAAAGTGCAATTTATTACAAAAATCGAAGAGGAACATTGAGTTGCAACAAAATCTATTTTATTTACAATAACAACAAAGAAATTGAACGCATCAAAGTCAATTTTTTGAATAACCGTTAATAGTGTATCGCAAACTTGTGAAATTCTTGGCAGCACCTTATTTGAAATAAGTGCATTTACATCACAAAATGATGTAATTTCAATGAACATAAAATAACAACACTGTTAATAGAATATATGATTTTTTTTCAATAAACATTTAATATAAAGAACATTTGTGCAATATTTTTTCTTGGGATTCGTAATTCTAACTTCCAAGACTAACTCGTTTCTTGATAAAATGAAATATCTTTCGTGTACCTTGCTAATTTTGTGGATGACAACTGCAACTTTTGGAATTAAAGTGAATTATATATATGAATGGAAATATGTCGACTATATATGGGAAAGCAATGAGCAGAAGGAAGACGCGATAAAGTCTGGCACTTACAATCGTTCTGCGTGTACGTTACTTGATGCAGACAAAGCTAAAGGTAAATGAATGATAATTGTAAAAGTTACAATAATTTTCTAGTAATATTCTTCTAAGCAAAAGCTTAATTTATAGTATTTAACCACTACTCATATTATATGAATCATATTATATGAATGTTTAATAAATGCACTTTAATGATGTTAATGCAAGATATACCACTACCATAAAATTGATTAAATAAATATAACTTTTAATGGCACGTAAGTTCACAAACGAGATTCTTATAGATGGTAGAATATTCGTTACTGTTACAAAAGAACTGGGTTTTGGTGCACCTGCTACTTTGACGACAGTAACTAATGAAACAGGACCAGGAGGGCCACTTTTGCGACCATATCCAAATTGGAGTTGGCATAATAGTGATCATATGTGCGATGGCATGGTAAATGTGTTACGAGTAAACGTAAGTACCTTTTTTGCACGAGTGCGCATTCAATGATTTTTATCACATATCTTATATTTGATTATAATAATATTTAAATACTCAATAATTTATTCTATGTATATAAATATTTATATATGCACATTGCAATTAGTTTGATAATATATCAAATTAGAATTATTTCATCCTAGATTCGATGCAATCACATCTTCGTTCTGGATTCTGGTAAAATTGGGCTTGACTACATTTGTAATCCAAAACTATTGATCTTTAATTTAAAAGATGATACGCTAGTAAAGACTATTTATATTCCATTTGATATTGCTAATAATGCAACGGGTTTTGGATTATTATTAGAGCCTTTCGTTTATATTCCCAAAAAATGCACGCAGTTCCTGCATAAAATGATTGTTAGTACATCCTCTCTTGTATAAATCGTAATAATAGATACATGTTCGTCCAGATAAATATTGTTTAACTATACGTTTAACTATACATCTCGTACGTATTTTTTTGTTTTAAGTAATTTAATAATAATAAATTTAATATAAATACGTATAAATATTTATGAATTTGCAGGTATTCATGGGTGATGTACAAGGTAAAGGTTTAATAGTGTATGATTCATCTGTAAAAAGTATGTGCAGAGTTGAATCCGATTACATGAAACCGACCTCAAATTTTACCTCCATAGCAAATCTCAAATTTTGCCTCCATAGCAAATCAAAAATTTCGTTTTGATGGCGGTATCTTCAGTATAGTGACTCTTTATGATGGTAAGTACTTGCATAACGCATTAAATATTATTTTAAATGTAATTTGTAATATTTAATTTTATTATACATGACAAGTATTAAGAATCCTAACTTCACTGTTAAAATCTGATATTAACACATTTTTTATGTTCATATTTTTTTTTTATTAATATTTATGTACATTTGTGTTAATGCACGTTTATAACAATTTATAAAACATATAAGATTTCCTTGCAAATAATCAGCGTTTCGTTAATCTATGATTTTTTTTGTATTTTTATATTTTAGATCTTTATTATGTTACTACGCCGGGAACGAAAATTTATAAAATGAAAATCAAATCACTACTAAAATGTCCAAATATAGAAGAGGCTAATAAGAAAACTAAAATTGCGATTAAAATACCAAGTGATTCAGGACAAATCGCATCAGCAGGACATTCAATATTTTACAGTGATTCTGATGGAAATGCTATTTTAGGAACGAATGTTTTTCAAAAATCTGGCAAAAACACGGTAGGACATCCAAATGCAATTATTCTTTACATTTGAAGCGATAATAGATTATTCTTAATTTTATTAACAATTGTTTAACTTAATCGTTATTATACAATTATCCGCTGTAAAAAAATATTAATTTTTAGGTGATACTTGCACAAGACGATAAAAAACTTCAAGCTATAAGTTCGCTAAAAACTTCATATTATTGGAATAAATTGATAGGCCTATCAGATAGATATCATCGTTACGTTCTTGGTACTGTAAACCTAAATGAAGTAAACATCCGCTATTTCGAAATGGATTTAGCAAAAATACAAAAGAAGATGGATTTGATTCCTTGAAACGTGTGTTAGGTTTCATATTTTAACAAACACTTTTACACAATATTATTATTACTACATACGTTTTTAAATTTACTTTATGTTATAAATATAGAAGAATTTTACACACACATACACACTACTTACATAATTGTATACTGTAAAAGATTTATCTGCCAACTTTTTGAAAAAGAATTTGCCACTAGCATTACAATAAAAACCGTCAAAATCATCATTTTTTTTGCCTCCTTGACACCATTTTTCTCACAATGATATATGATAGCCAAATTTTAAAAACGGATTTTGCGTTTAACTACTCATCTAAAAAACTATAGGAAATGATTATGTTTGTTCAGACAATGAAGCCAGAGCATCAATTTGCATACTAATATTATTAGTAAAGGGAAGCAGTAAAAAGTTAATCTTTTCCTCGTTTCATTTTAATTCTGGTATTTACAAAAGTATTTTATAAAAAGTATTTTATAAATACCAGAATTTAGATGATTAACGTTTTATTGCTTTCCTTTATTAATAACATTATAAATTTATATTGCGGGATCATTGCTTGGACGAACATGATCAACAAATGCTATAGCGGCATTTTTAGCGCGGGATAAATATCCAAAGCATATAAAGAGCGCAGATTGGATTTAATTTCTTAAATGAAATAAATGTATTGTATGAAACATGTATTTCATAACACTTATAATATATGCATTAAAATTCTAACAAGACTTGTCTCAGTTTTCTCTTCTTGATTATTATCATATTTGAAGTAGTCTTCTTGCATATAATATACCGTTGTATATTATACAACGTCGTTTTCGACGAGCATTATGTATTTAAAAATGGCACTTCTTTCTGGGAAAAATTTTTCAATAGTCCTGAATATCTTCAAAACAATGTCTTTTCAATTTTTCATTTATGTATAGGTATAAAAAAATGTCGCACTGAGTTAAATTTGGCGAATAATGAGAGTGGGAAACCATATGTCTTTAATTAGAAACTGCTATGTGATAAATGCATTGTGAGCCCACATTGTAACATTTTAGACAATACTTGACAGAGGTTGTATATGTACCAATATATATACTATCAGTACTAAAAATTTGTGGTGTCCGTAACATATATTATAGATTTTTAATACTGATATAAATATCGAAACGCAATTATGGTCATCAAAATCGATTGAAAAAGGACTTCAGAATGCATTACAGTAATAGTAGAAGCGATGGCAGTGTTAAAACATAAGAATTACTTCAAGAGTGTGATAGTAATTCATAGGACGTACGAGTTTTATTTGCAACATCAGACTAAAAATTCTGAATACCATTTTGTACAATGTTGTTTTCCATTATTAATGTTATTTTCCATTATTAATGTTTTTTGATAATATACTATGTATGTAACATGCTAACTATTGATGAGTAATAATATCACTATATCTATAAATATTATGTTAACGTCGATGTGCAAAACTTTTAATGAGGTTATATTTATAATTATTTGCTGTATAATAAGATTTCTTGAAAATACTTTTATGTTCATTTGATAACAAATATAAAAAACAAACTCTCATCATTGCACTGACATATAGTACGTTCCTACAACTCGATTTAAACCGAAGTTAAAACGTTGTTATAACTATTGATGTTAGATGTAAACATTTTATAACAAAATTATTATATCGATGAAATAATTTTATCGTAAAACAGCGTATATATAATATCTAATATAGTATAGTTAGTAGTTATAATGTCGGATATTATAATATAATTTCGGCGTAAATCAGATTGTATAAATGTAATTATGTTTAGTAGTACAATTCAAATAAACATTGTTTTCTTCAACAAATAATTCAAACAAACTTTCAAACAATCCATAATTACATATATTCAAGTGTTATCACAAAAAATTAAAGAAGTTATGGATTGTATTCTTTACTTAATTTAGTTTATGGGATTTAAGTTGGCGCCAGTTGTTAATATCAAATATTTTATACGAATGATACATATCATGAAAATTGATATTATTTATTTAATTTGGTATCCAAATTATATGAGATTTAACTTCGCGCCAATTGTTGATATCAAATCTTTTATACGAATGATATATAATATATCATTAGAGTTAAGTAAATAACAAAAGATAGCACTTGCGTTTTACGTTTTAATTTAATAGAATTTACCTTGATTAGAGAGAGTTAAAACTGCAGCATCTGGGTTTTAATTTTTCATTTGATACATTAATTTTTTTCGAGAAGTAATAATTTTTGACAGAGACAAATGCATTACAGAAAATAAAACGGCTATTTCGTTGTTGTTCTAATGCGCGCAATAGTTATTAAAAAATATAATTAAAATCTAATTACAATATTAAAATATAAATACGTATAATTAGACAATAGATATAACGCAACGATTAAAATATGTATCATTTAAGATGTTCCAAAAATTTATTAAAAAGCTATAGTTAGTTATGAGAAGATTTTATTTCGACGAACTGTCGAAATTAGTCTCAATAATGATCAGAAAACAAGTTAAAGTAACTAGAAAAGTATATTAGACGAAGAGGAAGTAGGTGACAACGTGAACTGACGAGCGCATCCCGTTAGAAGCTCGAAAATCGCGCCGATACTAGGACAGCATGTCGAGCGAAGAGGTCGTCAAGTCTGAGCGAAACCCCACTTATTATACCCCCACCTCAGGATAGCTTCCATGCACAGCAACCAATAAGAGCGCCAGCAGGTTCTTCTAACACGTGACAAGAAGGTCCCGCCCATTGCCCAATGACTGCGATGCTACACAGCGGCAAAGTGGGGAGACCCTGTCGCTCAGAATACCTCTGTTAATTTCCTGCGCTCCTAACAATTCTATTAATTTATACGATGTTTCTGACGCCGAGAAACGGAGAAACTCGACTCTCTCGCTTAACTTTTCGTCCTATGTATTTTTAATTTTCATACATTCTATAGATGTATAATTATAGGTTTTTATTATTTATTTAATTGTAACATAATATTCGATTTATTTGGCTATTGTTTATTAATTATGTGATATATACATATAGAAATAATAATATTTTTTTTTAATGCAAATTATCCCGTTTTTGTCACAGAAACTAACTATAATATATTCTGTTTGAAGTAAGAAAGTAGATTTTTAAGTAAGAAAAATGAATCAATTTATAAAGTGCTCTCCACCAATCACTCCCACCAATTATAATCGGTGGTTCCCTTTTCTACATGCTTCCCAGCATGGATCTTCAGAGGATGGAAGATATCCTACGTCTTAAGAACATCCTCTCTTGGGGATCCTAAAGACGATTAGTCATATTGAAAATAGCATTTACACACAGAAGATTGTATTATTTTTTAATAAATTTTTGGAACATCTTAAATGACACATATTTCAATCGTTGCGAATATATCTATTGTCTAATTATACGTACCTATATTTCAATATTGTAATTAGATTTTAATTATATTTTTTTATAACTATTGCGCACATTAGAACAACAATGAAATAACCGTTTTATGTGTGCGAAAAAACGTTACATACAAAATTATTATCAAACAAAAAATCGAGTGATTGATTATATTTATGTATATTTACGATCCAGTGAAAAATTTTTCATACATAAGTATATATATATAAAATTATATGTATATAAACTATTATAAATATTTTATTTACATAATTAAAGAAAATGGAATATTTGATTTTCGTTTTGAATTATCTCTCTCCTCATGATTGTATATTAATTATTTGAACAAATCTAATTAAAGATTATATTAATAACTAAATAATTGAATATCTTTTGCTTACTAATTAATAATTAAACAAAATCAGGAATTTAACGCATCAGTGTAAAGTTTAAAAAATGATAGAAGTACTGTAAGTCAATAAAATTGATAAATTTGGAGCGTAAGATAGATAAGGATCATGCTTCTCGGCGTCGAAAATCTCAGAAAAATCCCCTGAAGTATTAGCAAAGCAGGATAAGTGAAGAGGTTGTTGGATATCCTCTTACCTCCTCTTACCTCCTCGCTATCGTGCGCTCCTGTTACTCCGGATTTATTTCTCGAGATTTTCAGAGCACCGACAAACCCGATTCATCGCCTTACCTCCTCGCTATCGTGCGCTCCTGTTACTCCGGCTTTATTTCTCGGGATTTTCGGGGCGTCGACAAACCGATTCTTCTCCTTACCTCCTCGCTATCGTGCGCTCCTGTTACTTCGGATTTATTTCTCGGAATTTTCAGTGCACCGGCAAACCCGATAACTCGCCTTACCTTCTCGCTATCGTGCGCTCCTGTTACTCCGGATATATTTTCTGAGATTTTCAATCTCGAGAAACGCGACTCTTGTCTATCTCATCATCCGAATTTGCTATTTTATTTAATTTATAAATTTTCAATTTTTCGACAGATATCAAGTTTTAATTTTTGTTTAATTATTATTTTAAATAAAAGTATTCAATATATTTAATTATTAAAATAATTATTGATTATAGTTGTGTCAAGTAACTTATACAAGACAGGATATCATATTATGCGCATTGAGATATAGAATATGACAATGATTTGAAATCTCACGCTCTCTTTCGGTGGCAAGTAAGATGCAACGCCGCTGCCGTCGAAACGCTCAGATACTTCCGATAACTTTTTACGCTCCTAATAATTTTTCCTAATAATTTATACATTAATTTTCTAACGCCAAAAAATCGAACTTTCTCGCCTAATCTCTCCATCCGAATATGCACTTTTATTATCTTTTATGCATCTCTTGCACAAATATGTATAATTTGATTTATTATTATTTAATTATAACTTAACTTAAAATATCTAATTTATTTAGTAATTGTTATATTTAATTATATTACGTCTAAATTACGAGTAATAAAATTCGAACGTTATAAAAGTATACACGTACGTTATAACACATAAATAAAAAAGGTATTAATTTCCACATTAAAATGCATAATATTGTAACAAATTAAGAAAATCCGTAATGTGTATAA